CCCCCGGGGGGGGGGGGGGGGGGGGGGGGGGGGGTTAGTGCACCTAAGACGGGTATGTGAGGTGAGTCGTGCGCGTATGGGTGTGAGGAGCGACGCGGAGGAATGCCGTCGGGGCGGTAGAGGAACCAGGGGTGTATCAGCTCTGTCGTTAGCCAAAATAGAGGGAAAATCGCAAGAAAAACATACGATGATAGCGGCAGCAGCGGTGGCAGCGGATAGCGGATGGGAAAAGGGGTCTCAAGATTGCCGACATAGAAACAAAAACGATAACGACGAAGTCCTGTTGTTTTCGCGCGCGGATGACCGCGCAATGCCGCACGCTTTATGTCGTACGGGTCCACGGGAAGACCGAGGTAGTCAAGGGAGGTCCAGCGGCGACTTCCGGCCTGTTCTGGCCCTGAATCTTCACCTTGGTGGTTCATATCGTATCTGTGGCCTGCGTTCTCTCACCTGCCCCACCACTAGAATTCGCTCCTCGGCGCCAGGGGAAGGGTTGATAATCCTTCCCCGGCCGCGACCAGGCCAGCCGACCTCCAGGGTGAAGGGGACCACGTAGCCCCCCCCGTTGCTGGGGTCTCCGCCTTCGGTGTCTGCTTTCGCGAAGAAAGCCGACGGCAATGAAGTACAAGGGCAGAGGGTGACGAAAACAAGCGATTTGCTTGGATACAACGCCCCCAAGCAGGGGCCGGTAGAAACGTAAATACGGATGGTTATGTCGTTACATGAGCAAGTACAACGACCAAGTACATTGCAAATTTCGGTCGAGTGGTTGTGAGCAGCAACGAGTCAGTACGGCGGTTATCACGACAAACCTTCAACGAAGCACAGTGTAAACAAACCAGAAAGACAAATGAATACAATTGTCACGCACATAAACACATATGTCGGGAGCTTGTTCGCAAGGTTTCGAAACTCGTGACTCGGGAAATGCGCGAAAAGTATCCGAGACTCGGAGAGAGAGAGACCTGTCCTGAGCAAACGCTTGTACATGGCAAATCCTCAGTTCGTCAACAACAATTCCGCGACCCGTCACAACACACGCACACCAAGCTCCACATTACCCCTCGACCATACACCTTTTTATCCGTCCCTGAAGCACCCTACATGCCCCCAAGCTTGGTTCAGCGCATCACCACGTCTTAACGCCCAAACAGGGCCAAAACCGTTAGGGCCGGCCGTTCGACTTTCTCGGCTAACTTAAGGCAAGCAGCATCGGTCAAAATCAAACACCCCACCTTTTCGGGTCCACTTGGGCCCGCGGCGATCCTGCCACTTTAGCCGCCCCTCGTCGTCGTAGCTGCTTACGACCCCACTGCTCACGGCAAACACCGCGTCGAAGCGCGCCGGACCCTCTCCCCACCCCCCCACCCCCCCGCCTCCCCCTCCCCCTCCCGAACGTGCTCCCCTTCCTGCCCCAGAGCTCGAGCGGGCGGTGGCGGCCCCCGTGGCCGCCGCCGCCGCCACCCCCGCCGAGTCTCTTGGGATGATGGCCGGGGATGCGGCTCCGACCTCTAGGTCCAGGGATCGTGAGGACGAGCGGGAGTTGGGCTTGCTAAGGCGTTCCTGTTTTTTTTGTCAAGATTGTAAGAGAGGGTGGGAGGAGGATGAATGGACGGAGGGGAGGTTCCGGCGTGTGTTCGGCAGCAACCGGTACTGCTGAAATTGTCGTGATGGAGAGAGACGGTAAGGGGGCGGGGGTTGGGGGGAACAGGAAGGGGTTACAGACGACACCGCGGTGGGACCCAACGCAGGCGTTTTTCCGACACCCTTAAAAACTGGCGCAGAAAAGACAAGGAGGCAGGCACAACGAACGCCCGGCCATGACGGGGTCTGTTGTCAAGCTCTCCGAGCGAACGGGCCACCCTCGCACACAGGATCTCGCTTCGTGTCGTGCCACCGGAACCAAACAATCCTCAGGCCGACGGCATTGCAGGCAGGCAAGCAGGACGAGCGCACCCCCTACTGTACGTACCTGTACTTCGAAGAGAGCTCCGGCGTCGTGGCAAAGGGAGGCGTTGAAGAGCTGCTCTCTAGGGGGGAGGCCGCTCACCGCGAGGGCGTAACACGGGGGAAGAAACCGTCGCGCCGGCTGCGGCTTTTTTTTTCGTGGGGAGAGAAACAAAGAGAGAAAATAGCAGCGGGGTGAGGTGGAGGGCGTGTGGGGAAAACGGTAGATTTACGTCTGTATTAGTACCGCCGAGTGCTACGGCCGTCTTTTCACGTTGTAGCTCGATGCCGAGCTGGTGGATGTATCCCCCGAAAGCTGTGTCGCAACAGAGGTTGTCACTGCTGCTGAAAAGTAACCATGCTTGTAGGTGAGGTAACGCATGCTGCTCCAGTGTAAGACAAAGCTCTACAGCGCCGAAGCAAGCGACGCAATAGCCTATGAATACCCGCAAGTGTACACGAGACACATTTCGAGCCACCGCCTGGGCATATCACCCAGTGCCCCAAACGTTTTCTTTTACTATATTCTCTGTAGCACAGGCCAGACCAGTTTTTCGTTAACTTTTGGGTGACGCCAAGTTGAAACGCTCCGAGTAAGCAAGCACCACGACATCCTCGACGAGGACAAGGAAACCGAGGCACGCGCCAAAAAAAATGGCCACGTACTTTCAATAGTGCGGGCGGCCCCGGCGAACAAGTGGCAACAGCTTCGGTTCTTGGGGTCAACGTCTTGATTCGTCAGTCGGCACAGTCAAGTAAGGGTTGTTCTAGACGCTGCTTGCCAGCAGCGTTGTTTTTCGTACTGATTGTGAACGCGCGAGCATCGTGCTCGCAACCCTCGTTTTAACGCTAAACTACTTCTACGCAAGAGCATGATCTTGATCACCTCATTGTTGTTGGCCTACGTTTGCGGAGAGGGGGGCAAGTGATGGGTCGTCAACGCGTCGCCTAAACAACAACGACGACCACAGCAGCTGCAGCAGCTGCAGCAGCTGCAGCAGCAGCCTCAAAGAACTAACCTGGGAGGGCGTGGGCTCCTCGGACAGATGGCCCATGGCCACCCCCTCGTGTAGATGCCCCCACCCTTGCCCTCCGCGCGTGCCCACCGCCTGCCCGGTCGAAACCGCCGCCCGCCCGCCCGCCCGCCCGCCCGCCCGCGTCCATGGAGGGATGTATGGAAAGGGGTCAGAGGCAAGCCAAACACATCTTTAGTATGCCATATGTGTGGTACACTTGCCCAATCCCGATTACAGCAAGGACAAATGGGATCGCACCGGGGCCAGGAGCAACAACAAAAAAAGGCCGAGCTTCCTTCTCTGTCTGTCTTATCTCTCTCTCTCTCTCTCTCTATCTCTTTCTCTCTCTCCGTCTATCTCTCTCTCTCTCTCTCTCTCTCTCTATCCGTCCCTCTCTCTCTATCTCTCTCTTTCTCTCTCTCTCTTTCTCTCTCTCTCCCTGTCCCTTGTCCCGCCTTATCCAATGGCACCGTCCTCCACCAGTCCTTCTTAAGGTCCTCACCTGGACGTGGTCCACGACGCCGTCGCCGTTCAGGTCCACGTACACCCCAGCGTCCGTCCCGGCGGCGGCGGGCAGCGCGACCGCGCTGAGCGGCTTCCCCGTGGACAGCTCCACCGCCTCGAGCCCGTCCCTCGTCCTCGCGAGGACAACCCTCACCAACCCTCCCCCCCCCTCCGAGTGAAGTTTGGGGACTTGGTCGTCA